AAGGCATCAATTCTTCGGCGCTCGGCCTTTTTTATGGTCCAGCTCTCACAGCCATACAGTTAATATTAGTGGTTCATTATTAAAAACATTTAGGGCCTTCATTGGAGTCTTTGTTCTAGTAACTTTAAAGCAAAGGTACAGCTATTAACTTTTTTTCCCCTGCTGTAGTAAACTGCAGCTTTTGTTATATAAATCTGATTTTTATTAAGGTATTAATTTAAACTGGAGGAAAACATATCACTAACTCCCCCCCCCCGCCCCAGTACTGTACAGTAACTCTTTTTTCACTTAACGATGGAAAGAAAATTGCAAGCCCCGGTTGCAATTCACTTAACGACCGCAGTGATTTGCTTAACAATCCTGGCAAAAAATGGTTGTAAAATCCAGTGCAGTCATGTGATGCCTCACTTGATGACCGCATTGCTTACCAGAATCAAAATTCTGGTCCCAATTGGGGCCGTAAGTTGAGGATTACAAGCAGTCCCCAGTTTTAGACTGAGTTCTGTTCCCAAAGTCTGTCCTTAAGTCGAATTTGTATGCAAGCTGGAACAGCATTATTGTTCAGTATAATATTGTATTAGTAGTATTGTGTAATTAACCTGAACCATTGTGTATTTAACTTAAATTGTTGTGTAGCATTGAATTTTGCTACAATAAGCTTTGTTCTTAACTATGGGTTGTCTGTAAACCAGGCGTTCTTAACCCGGGGACTACCTGTACCTACGTGTGTATTTAGTTCATTTATGGCTATTATCAATATTTCCCTTTATCCCAATGTTATCTATAGGAGAGGTGAGGCAACTAATAGAGCAGTTGAAAATCACTTAAGCCAATGGTAATGATCATGTTGCTGCTGAGGTTTTCAAACATAAAGGAGATTGGTGGGCATCTGTGCTGTCAATACTTTTTACTTACATAGACAGTACTGCTCATATTCTGAAGGACTGGGCAATTGCAGTGACTGTCATTGTTCTATAAGAAAGGTCAAAAAATGATTCTGGAAATGATTGCTCGGATAGTTTTCTGAATTCAGTTAGTAAAATCTAAGTCCATAACACATGTATGATAAACTTTATGATTGGATGAAAGATAGTAATATGGACGATCAATATTTAGGCAAAGCAGATCTACAGGACATCAGTGGTTTTGTATCTCTTGATAGAAAAATGTACCTATGGCTTTAAAATCCCACTTCATGTAACTTTTGAAAACTTTAAATTGGTCTTCAGTACAATCTTGAGAGAGATTGTATGGAAGAAAATGATATAAATTCAGTGGTAGAGCATCTTATAAAAAGGAGTTCTACCTCCCTAAGCTAGCTCCACCTCCCTAAGCTAGTATTTTTGTATGCTAATAATAGGGCCATTTTGTAATGTTCAGTTATAGAGTTGAGAAGATCATTAAAAGGTCAAAATGGTTACATTTTCAAAAACAAAGTTACAACTTTTGCTAGGAGAATAAAAGAATATGGTTGACCTAATAATGGAAATAAAATAGAGCAGGCCAAATGTTTGAATTACTTAGGGATAATGTTACCTTCATCCTGGTAGAGAAATGCCGATTTAGATTGTACTGTATATCACAGGTGGCACAGAGAGGTGCTGCAGCTGTTTTGACTTTTTTCTTCACCAGTGGAGGATATTACATCCCTGCCATGCTGATACTATTTGTAGGCAAAGTAATGATGCAGTTATGATACAGTGTGCAGATGTGTTCCTATTCCAACAGTAGTTCAACAGAGAGGGTACAATCAACATTTTGAGAACAATTTTGCAAGTCCTCAAATGTGTTTCTACTGTAGTTTTAAGAATGGAATTGGAGGAATGGAGGCTAGATCTGGATTACTATTTTTAGATACTGGCTGAAATTGATATTTAATTCAGCCACTTTAGGTGCTCTGATAGCAAGAGACAACTTCTGCTCTTTGTGGAAAGCAGGCATTAGAAATAAATTGGCTCTTTATGGTCTTTCCTGGGATTCCCTGCAATCACTGAGATACTGTATATTCCAAAAAAATTGAACATAGAATGGCAGCGCCTGATTATTATAGGCTCAAGGTGATTTAAACTGTGGAGTTGTCCCCATAGTATTACTCCATACTTTTTGAGTGTAGTTCAGCATCACACATCTTTAATTACCATGTTCTCCAAGGTTGTGTTACCATATAGATATTGATTTAACTCCTAAAATATTTCTTATAATTGATTTGAGATGTTAATCCCTTGCTCAACCCGGAACTTCCAATACCCCCCCCCCCTCAT